AAATGGCTTTCTATTTTTCTAGATATGAGAGGAGTAGTAGTATAATTTCATAACAATTATAGAAAGGTATTTTGGAAATAAAAGGATGATGTACATTAATTTTTCATGTCAACGTCACACTTTCATAAAATTTCATTAATTTGAAAATTTTGATTTAACTTCATTCTTTTGTCCCCCAAACTCCATTTTTATAGGATTATCCCAAACTTTATTGCTTCTATGATTTTTCGTGTTATTTTCATTGTTGAATGTAATGGAAACAAATTGAATATAGGTGAACTGTATAAATATTACATACTAATAAATATTATAATTTGAATTGTCGAACCATATAATTGTTATTTTTTGATAAAATCAAACAATGTAAACAAAAATTTATAATCGTACTAAATAATTTAGGTGACCAATTGTATTTTAAAATTTAAAAAAAAAAAAATTAATTGTAATGAACATATAAATCCTATCATATTGAATTTGACTCAGGTGACCATCCAAATATTCGGCCTGACGATGAATAATGGGAAAGCTACAATTATTAATAGGGTAATTCTCAACAAAATAATCATAACTCTATTTTAAATGAATCTTATTTAATTGAAAATCTGATTTCAAAGTGATCAATCTGGTCACCGCTTGCAATCCAAGTGCCACTCAAATTGATCTGAACATATGATATTGTTGAGTTAGTTTTCAATCACAATTTATGAGAAATATAAACTACTATTACTGCTACGGAATTGTGGTATAACACTGTCTTACAGATAAAGTTTATTGCTGACAAATGAAACTCTCTTCTTATTTATAAGCTTCCTGTTGTCCACCCTCTCTTTCTAACTCTTTATATAATTGTCCTACATATTTTCACTCTACAAAACTCTAGAGACCCAAATTTCAATATATATATATATATAAAAAGTTCATAAAATTTTAAAAATATCACAAATTTATTTCAAATGATTTTATTGCCAATGAATAATAAAATTATCGTACCAAGTTCAATGAGAAACCAATTTCAATCAAATCCATTTCCCAAACAAATTTGAGTTTAGTAAAACTAGAATTAAATTATATAAAACACATTTATAATTTAAGATGAAATGATCAAGGTAACTAATTATACTTTAATAATCTAAGACATCTAATCTATAAAGTGACAACAAAGATCAATTTTTTTGGCGACCTGTGTCAATAGTGTCGGTCTCAGCTTCATTTTGTGAGAATGTTTTTACTCTTATTACGTTAAAAATGTATATATATATGCCACTAATTTCGGAGGCTTCGTTTTGATCCAATCAGTTAGAGAAGTATTTTACTTAATTTAGTTGAGTTGTTATATTTGGAAAAATGAATTAAAAAAAAAAAAACAAAAACAAAAATTATAGAGTTTGGATCAAACTTGGATCATGCCCGACCCATTGATGTTCCAATTGACCTTCCAATAATTTTCCCAAATATCTTGGGCAATTGTTTTGTTTGCAGTTTCCTAAATAAATAGTGATGTAAAAAGTGCCACGTGGCCATGTTTTCCGACCAATTCCGTCGTGGCTAGGTTATTTTGACCACCTTTTTGTCAAAAATGTCCACGTGGTTTAATATGGATCTTATTTTTAGACATTTGAACCTTTTTTTTTTTTTAACAACAAACTGATGACTGACACCATGCGCAAAATTGAATTAGTGAAATGATAATTGAACAAAAGATTTGAATATACGTTTCTGAATTTTATCTTTTATTAAAATATCAATTAATTAAAATTTATTTTTTATAACTAAGTTGGATTCACTAAACCTAGTTAGTTTAGTTTGCAAATTATATATATACACACTTTTTAATGGCCAATTATCAGTTAGTTAATTTGTTTTAGACTATCCAATCAGTTAGTTAAATGTTCATTTGACTACCACATTTATTTTGTGTTTTTATTTTATTATGGAGTAGAAGGTTTTTCTTTTTTTTTTTTTTTTGAACAATGCTTTTGCAAATGTATGGAAGCAACCCAATGCTTTTGCAAATGTATGAAAGCAACTAGAAGCATCAATTTGGTGCTCTCGGTTTTGGCCTCTTTAACGATATCAAATACGTTTTGTCATTTTACTTCGCTACATTACACTGATGGAAACAGAAAAACACGAAACACGAAATGCGAAAAAGAAGGGATTGCCAAACATGCCCTCAGTTAGTTTATGAATTTTTTTCACTATAATAAAAAATTAGGAAATGGATAATTTCTTCGTACCTCAATTTTATGGTCAACATTTAGCTGAATCTAAAACGTATGATTGAAATTTTTATAATACAAAAAAGAGATTTGATCGGAGAGGAATAATTCAACAACTCATTATTTTATAAAAATATTATTTAAAACTGTTACAGTCACATTACTATAGAAATAATGGATGAAATTAGAGTAAATCTGGATAAAATTTTAGGGATGAAGATGGCTTAAATACAAGTTAAAACTGATAACATGAGTGTACAAAATGTAACTTTAATAAAACTAAAATTAATATTTAAAACAGCCTTTATTTAACATGTATGAAGTCTGGAGTCTTTGGACAGATGATTTCTTATTTTTTACTCTTATCCTCAACCCTATTCTTAACCTAATGAATGAATAATGGCAAAATAAAGAAAAGAGACAAAGCATGATTTTTTTTTTATTTATTTGAGTGGACTTCATGTCATTAATGGAACAAATTCAACTGTTTAATGAGAGTAGATACTGTTTTTACGGTGACACCAAAAATATTAATGACATCAATTTTACTTAAATAAATCACTCAAAATTGTCCGTACTCCAAATAATTATCTTTGAGATTTTTCTTAAATGAAAAAGTTAATAAAGAGATATAATGACTTTTTGTCAAGAACTCATTCTAACTTCTTTTTTTTTTCTTTTTCTTTTTTTTTCCCCTATTTGGATGCCGAAGAAATTATTTTCCAAAAAAAAAAGAAGTTAGAATGAGTTCTTGACAAAAAGTCATTAAAAAAAAAAAAAAAAAACTTGTCCAGAAAATTAAAATGGACAAATGTTAACCCTAATGTACTTTTACACCCGAGATTATAAACATGGTTTGGCTTGTGTGATTCTCCAAATAACAAAATTATTAGCAATAAATAAGAAATAATCTGCTAACAGCAATTGCCATTATTGTTAATGGATCATTAGTTTAATGGTATAACTTTTTCTCTTTCAAAAAGGGAGAAGAGGGTTCGAGCCTTGTAGTGGGCAATGTGTGATGGGTGTGAGTGAGATTGCCAGGTTCGTCCTCCGTTCCATTAATGGCTGCCATTTTGAGCTTCAATGTCTCTTAACCCTAAGCTACTGAACCAAGTATTTAAGGTGTAAAAAAATCAATCCACAACAAATCAGAACATCACAGTAACACACAATAAACCAAATGATTTTGAAAAAACTATAGAGACAGAGAGAGAGATGTGTGTGTGTGTGAAATTAGGAGAACTGAGCTCGCTTTTACCGGTGCATGAGAGAGAGTTGCAGAGATCGAAATGAATGTCGATGGAAGGATTTTCGATCAGTGGTAGAGCTAGCTACTACATGGAGCACTAAATTATTGTTCTATGACTTGTCTGAGAGAATTTGGGCGGGAAATTGAAGTTTTTGTGTTTGCCCTAGAACCGTTCTCATAATTACAATGGAGCCAAATGGGAAGTCGTTTTGAGTACTTCTTCGTCGTTTTCAATATTTTGCTGTTACTTTTCAAGCCAACCAAAGCTTACGGGTGACTCGTCCTTCGTATCTGTATGATACTATTCAAATACTCATGAGTACGTGTTTGATATTTTATAAAACGAATTATCGATATATATATATATATATATATATATATATATATATATCATAATTTAGTATAAAATTTTAAACATATTATTATCGCATTTAGATTCATAATTTTATATAAAAAAATATTGATCAAAATTAAATTTTGATTAATGTTACTTTCTTTTCTTTTCCTTTTTTAAATAAAAGAAAAAATGATTAATTCTGAAAAAAAAAAATTAATAAATTGTGCTAAATCTAAAATCTTAATTAATTTTAATATTAACCTTCTAATTAATTTTGAAGAGAGCACAAGAGAGATATCCCAAGGAGAGAATACGTATTCTCCCGGACATCTATATTCAAGTTTGGTAGCATGGAGTTTGTGTCCTGGACTAATTTGTCATTAAATTTCAATTCCAACAAGGCACTGGACTCCATGCTTGTAGTAACTTCTATAATGATAAAACTATTTAGTAACCAAGAAATCAAAGAACAAACAGTGACTTCAAAAACTTAAAAGGAAAAATAAAAATCGTATTTTTTTTTTCTAACTATAACTCAAACTTCTCTTTCTATTCCTAAAAATAATTTAGTCTCCGAGGTCTTTTCTAATTCTATTTTTTCTAATTTAAATTATATTTCTTCTATTCCTGAAGGTCTTTTGTACATCTCTTCCTCCAATTTTAAATTAAATCATAAATAATTATTTGTATTTTAACTTGTGTTTGTATTTTAATTAGTAACTTATGTTTGTATTTTAATTGATAATTTTTTAATGATTAACTTATGTTTGTATTCTAATTGGTAACTTATTTTATTATTTATTTATTTTTAATGATGATTTGAAATTGTTGAGGCCCCTTATACTTTTAATAATAACTAGTAAAATGCGCGTGCGATGCACGTGTTGAATGTTTTGTAACTTATCGATATATCCTTTTTATTAACAATGTTTAGAGTGTATTAATTGTCATCTCAATGAATTCCTAGACTATAATTCTTTGAAAATGAAAATATTCATATGAACAATGTTTAGAGAGTAATAATTGTCACCTCAAAAGAAACAAAATAAGGTTTTTCATTAATGAATGAATGAAAATTATAAACATTAAAAAAATATATATATAAATTAAAATTCTATAATTTACAAAACATTCATAAATAAATACTATATAAAAATTCTATATATTATAAAATCCGAAAGAGTACCAACAATGTTTAGATTGTAATAATTGTCACCTCAAAAGAAACAAAATATATTAGAAAATCTAAAACTATAACTGTTTGAAAATAAAAGTATTCCTAAATTATTTATTTCTCAATCTTTATCTTTTTTGCATATCTCATTTCTTCATGAAATGAATCATTATCAAGTGTGAATTCTTTTAATTCTTCCACCGCAAAATAAGTTTGCATGACTTCTTGTTGAGTATTGTCTATCTTCGCCAGAAAAAGAAAAGATTTTCCTTTGCAGCTTGTCACTTTGTTACTGAATTCATCCATGTCCTGCAGAAAGAAGAAATATAATTTAGAGCTATTGAGAAATTCAAGTAAGTATTTTTTTTCTAATTTAATTAAAATTTTATGAATAAGGGTGTGAAATTACCTCAATTTTTAATTGTAGTAAATCATCTAGTGAACAATTTATTAATATTTGGCAATCATTAAACACTGTTAGGGTTGCAAGTGTTGCAATATGTTCCATAGTTCGCACTTTAATTATCATCATGAATCTGCACATGAATAAAAACAAAGAATTATGTATTTGTAATATTATTAAACCATTGAAATAAATACAATAATAAGGTTTTAGGATATAATAATACTTTTGAATGTATTTTGGGTCTATTGTGTTGCATTGAGGACAGTATACTCTATCTTTTTCAACTTTTATTTTCTTGTTGCATTTCTCACAGGGTCGTACCACGGTTCGCGGTCATTAACGACATTTTCAATTTCTGCAGGTTGTGCAACAAAATATAACTTCTCAATATATAAATTGAATATAAAAATGTGATACACAATTAAGAAAGATTAAGAAATATACTGAAATTTAATACCTCAAAGGACATTGTAGATTTTCTTATTATGTCTTGAAGTTTGACTTTTTCAGCACCATTGAATTTTTGATCTTTTGTACTGGAAATCAAACTTCTTATATCTTTGTTATTTATGTTCTCTATGGACCTGTCCACATATAAATTGTCTTATAAAATAATTAAATAAATAAAACAGAAAAACATGTTCTCTTTCTACAAATAGTGTATATTTTGCACCAAGAAGTCTGCAATATAAAAATATAAAAACAAATATCATCTGGCATATATGTTTAGTTATATATAAACATGCTCAAAGAAAAAGATTACATATAGCTTTATGGATATATATATAATGTAAAAGAAGTTGGAATAAATAACGAACCAATGCCTTAATGATTTGACACTTTCAATATCCATATTGATTTGCAATGTAGATCATTTTTGCATTTGAAGAGACAGACCTGGAATATAACATTATTATTTGTAAAAGTTTGTTATTATAAATTTACTTAATAATATATATAATGCAAATAATATCAATTTGTATGATAATTTACCTTTGTAAGTGTTGATTGCCACATGTGTCATTGTGATAATAGGTCTTTCTTGTATTAGTTCCATGAAAAAGTTTCCTTCATTCTCAGCAAGATCCTCCCATAACGTCAAAGTTGTTATCCATGAACTATAACAAAGATTAATTACTTTAGGCATTATATTATATTGGCATAATTATGATCGTATAAGTAATATAGTAATGACGTACCTCATAGCCATTATAATGACTTCCCGCTTTTTGGTTGTGCCTTTATTGTTCTTCTTACATATGTTCAATGTAGGAGATACCTCAATAACAATTCCCAAATGCATTGAGCCAGATTAAAAATAAAATAAAAAATAAGAAATTTTAATCTTATATGTGTACAAGAGAGAACATATATATGGAGAGTTGAGAATTAAACAAAAACTAATCCATATTTTCTTTTACATCAGTGTACTTGTTCAGCTCCTTGAAGTCCACAAAATTAAAGTTTATTGTTTCTAAGCTTACTACTTCAAGCTCTTCAACTTTAATTGAGGTGTTATTAAGAAATTTCAATTCATACTCCTTGTGCACACTCCTATATATAGGATTGACGTCTTTTACAGTTACATTTGAAATTCTGTATGTCTTGTGAAGCAATAATGAATCACTGAATTTAGTGACGAGCTCGTTAAATAAGACACCTTGAATTTGTGTTCCCTGAAAGAGTAAAAAAGTTGTGCAAATGGATTAATAAGATCATTAAATAACAATGTTGCCATATAAATATAGATGCATTTAATGAAACTAACAGAATAGCCGATGGTATACTTACGTCATCATCCATCAGAACTACTTTCAACATTGTTCCTGATGTGTATTCCTCGATTGCTCTTCGAAATACAACTACTTTTATTGTCGATTCTGTTTTTAAAGTAACAAGTGAATTTATTAACTCAAAGCTTTAGTGACCTTTCTTCATTTTCATGACTGTTTTTGCATGATGAAAAGAAAAAAGAATTGAGGTTAAAGAAAATAAAAATTAAAAATAAAATTGTGAAATAAGAATGATCGAGTATCAAAATAGAAATGAAAAATATATATATATACATTAACAGTAAGTTAAATCGAAGTTGATATTTTTTTTATATTTTTAAAAAATAAAATTGTGAGTGAAAGATTTAAATATTGTAATAATTGGTAACGAATGTGGGGTATCTTTACCTTTCGAACAATGCAAAATAATTTTGGAATGGGAAGGCATGGATATTAATGTGGGTGTATTCTTATCTTTTAGACTGGAGAACCTCCTTATAGACAACATTTTTAGTGTATTTACTGGTGCGACCGAGCGTGTGCACAAAATAATGCACAACACTTTAGGTTTAGAAATAATGTCAAGTGGGCACCATATTTTAAAATTTATAAAACCACTAAACACTTATACTATGGAGTATGAAGTGAGCAGGGATCGTCCCAAGAGATCTAAACAATTATAGGTTTTCCAGAATTGAATTCTACTTTAGTGCTTATGTGGTTGCCAAAAGGGTTTTGTTTGTGATTAAAACTAATTTTAAACTAAATGATTGCAATAAAGAAATATAGTTTAAGAGATTGGAAAGAGACTTAGGGTGTAGGATTCACCACTAAGCACATTCCCTAACTTACTCACTTTCAACTAATTGGGGAAATAATACTATGTAATCTATATGTGGCTAACAAGTGCAATGAAAAGTGTAAACCATCAATTTCAAGCATGAATCAACTACCTAATGACAATTAAACTAAGTGTAGTGCAATTCACCCATTCAAAGTATGATTTATCAATCCAAGTTACAAATTTAACACACATTAATCTAGAAGATAATGCAATTGTGACAAAAAGTATGGAATTCAAACATAAGTATGGATGGTCTACTTACATAATAATTGAATTGCAATTAAATTAATTAAACTTAAATTAAACTAATTAAACATGAATTTAAAACTAATTAGACAACAAATTAACCTAAACATGTAGTACCATCTATCAAATGGAAGCATTTTTCATCAATTTGAAACACAATTACAACTAAGCAATACCATGCATAGCCATCACAAGAATCAATTAACAAAGAATTCATGTGTAAAATTTGTTTATCAATCAACCACACATAAGACAATATGAGATTAATACAGATAATCAATTGGAAGAATTTAATTCATAATATTCAAGACTATACACTAATTACATAAATTAATCCCCAAAAAGTATGAAAAGAGAGAGAGAATAGGTTACATGCTTAGGGTTTATCCAACCCTAAGTAGAAGAATCAGCCACTCATGGTTGATGGAGTCGAAGACAGGACAATCCCCATCATCTGTTTCATCTTCTCTGAACTTTTCTTCCAAACCCTAGCCTGTTCTTGCTTTTTCCCTTTCTTCGCGTGTTTTTCCAGAGAGAAAATACGATACTACGATACAGAAAAAAATAAAATAAAACTTTTTTTTTTTTTTTTTTTTTTTTTTTTTTTTTTGTTCCTCACCTTTGGTGAGTGCTTTTATTTCTTTTCTTTGCAAAGTCATTTTATCAAGAATGAAAGCTTCCAAAGCATACTAGCTCAATTGGGATAAACCAAGACAATAATCAACTAAGCATGTACCCCACAAATTGAATGCTAGTGTGCGCAAGTGCAAGTGTAGAATTCTAGAATCAACTCTCAAAGCATTTTCAACCAACAAGATGATGTGTACCACAAAAGCAAACATGATGTCAAAAATTAAAATTTACCCCTAAATGGCATCCTAGAGCATATAAGAAGTATTAGACTCTAACAACTTGTTTTTTAAAGGCACTATGCTTCAAAAGTTCGAAATCATTGCCAAATATATCTCAAATCTCAATCATGCATTTAAAGCTCAACTTAAAGTAGAATGTAACAAGGCTACCTTACCCCCAAACTTAAACTGCACATTGTCCTCAATGTGCAATGAGAATAATGAAAGAAATGGAAAGAGTATACCGTGATGGCAAAAGTTAATGACGCCCGGCAATGATCCATGACGAAAGAGGTCTCCCCCAAACTTGGATGCAAAAACCTACTAGAAAAGCCACACTAGCAACTCACATCAAATATCAAATGGGATAAGTAAAGCATACATTCTAAAACAATATAGAATAAGATGTAAAGAGATATGATATCAAACCCTTTGTAAAAGATGAAAACATGCATAACTAAGCAAAAGGGCATAACGGGGACACATATTTCTGAAATTTTTGTGATATGTTTTTTTTATTTATTTATTTCAAGAATGGGATTGATCTCCCAGTGTTTTTTTTTAAAAAAAATATTCTAGACTAAAAAGAAAAAATATATACTAAACTAAAAAGAAATAAATATAAACTAAAATAAATCAATTCAAAATTTTTTTTTTTTTATAAAAAAAACAAAGGAAAAGAACATGTATATACAACCAACAAAATAAAATAAATAAACAAAAATAAGAAAAATGGGCTAAATTTAACGTCTCTAGTAAGACGGAAAGTTACTGAAATTATTTTTTTATTTATTTAAAAAAAAAAATCATCAATGCAAATTTTTTTTTATTTTTAAAACAACAATTCAAATTTTTTATTTTTATTATTATTATTATTATTTAGAAGAATTAATTATTTTTTTGTTATGTATTTTTTTTTATTTTTTATTGTTTATTTATTTATATTTAATATTATTACTATTATTATTATTATTTTTGTTATTTAATTTTTTTATTATTATTATTTTTTAAAACATCACAGGCTCGCTGGAGAAGACAACCGGGACGCGACGCCGGAAACGAACAGATGCGACGCGAAGAAAGACGAACAGCCTTGATCGCCGGAGAACGACTCAGCCGCGATCGCTGTTGGAAGAACCAGACGCCGGAATCGCTGAAGAAGAAGCAGCCGCAACGCTGGAGAACCAAGCCAAACGCGTCAGAAAAGAAAAACCAGCCGCGGCGATGTAATCTCGGCGACCCAACCTCGTCGGAGAAATACAGCGATTAACACACCCGCCGGAAAGACCCAGCTGCGATATGAAGAAGAAGAACCGAACCGCGACTTACTAAATCGGCGCACCCACTTCCTCAATCACACCTAACCGAAACCCAAAGAGGCAAAGCAAAGGGCAAACCTCAAACCGCAATCGCCGGAGAAGAATCGAAAGCCATGGCGTCGGAATTTGATGCTTCGGCACCGCGGTAGAGAGAAACGAACAGAGAGGGATGATCTAAGAACTTGGGAATTTGGATTTGGGTGAAGAAGTTTGAGGGTTGGGCAATGAATAGAGGCGAGAGAGAGATGGTAAGGGCAAGGTTAAGGGGTTCGATCACCCTAAGCAAGGGATCGATAATTTTATACAAAAAAGGTTCTCCTTTACTGTGTAATGTGAGAAATTGGTGGGGGATTGATCCCCATTGTTGGGGATTGATCCTCACGAGCCTTTTTTTTGCTAGTCTCTGTCAGAAAAATGGGATCGATTTCCCACCCATTTTGGGAATCGATCTTCTTTTTTTTTTTTTTTTTTTTTTTTTTTTTTTTTAAGCAAAACTAAAAATACTATATACACTAATATAGATAAAATAAAATAAAATAAAATAAATAATAATAAATAAAATTACAAAGCAACCTATATGAACTAGTACTATTTTTTTACTCTTTTTTTTTTTTAATTTAAGCAAAACGAAAAATATATATACTAAAATGAAATATATATAAAAATAAAATCAAAAAAAAATAATACTACTAAAATTATAATAAAATCAAATACTAACCTAAACTACCCAGCACAACATTTTTTATTTTATTTTGTTATTTATTTATTTTTCTTTTTGAATTTAAAAATGCATAAATGTACAAACGGAAAAGAAAATAAAATAAAAATAAAATGCAATTTTTTTTTATTTTTATTTTTTCAAATCAACGAAAAAACTAGTGTTTAATGTCTCTAGCAAGACGTTGGGGCGACTCACTAGTCGAAAGAATCAAAAACCGGATATGAGACATCCTCATTGATCCGTTTATCTATTTTCCCCAATGGATCTTCTCTCACAACAATGAATACATCTCCTAAAAGAATGATTTGGAAATAAATGATGGAAGATGCAATTTGTTCCCTTTCATCCACGGTCTTGAAGATAAAGTCCATCATGATCGGCCTTGCACTTGGCAAGGTAATGTCTTTCAAAGACTCGGTTGGATTATTAGAAAACTCAATCTCTTCATCTTTTTTGTCAACTTCCACATTGATCACTTTCTCCTCCTTCACTAAGTCGCCTCAATGACTTCATGCTCAATATTACAAGGAATGTCTTCATAAATTGGATTTGCCATTGGTGAACTTACAACTTCTTCTTTTTTTTTATAAGAAAGAATACTTGCGATTGGAGGAAGAGATTCTTTTGAGTTTTTCCATGGCGAGAAGTTTAAGATGGCCACGGAGTCCATTAGAGAATTAACTTCATATATGGAGCTTTCAATGTCAAATGCGTCCATATTGAAGTGATAGAGGCATGCCTCAAGAGGATCTTCAGAAGGAATGGAAGGAAAGACTTCTTCAACAATTTCATCCAAGATATTCACCATGAAACACTCGCCTTCATCGATGGGATGTTGGCGTGTGTTGAAAACATTAAGCTTAACCATCATATTGCCAAAAGAGATGTCCATAATGCCGGACCTACAATTAATTGTCGCATTAGCGGTGGCAAGGAATGGTCTTCCTAAGATGATGGGAATGTAAGTGGTAGGATTAGGAACCTGCTCAGTGTCAAGCACAACAAAATCAACCGGGAAATAGAATTTGTTGACTTTGATGAGGATGTCCTCAACAATTCCCCTTGGTTGTTTTGTAGACCTATCGGCAAGTTGAATAACTACCGAAGTTGGCTTAAGGTGTCCTAAACCTAATTGAAGATACACGGAGTAAGGAATAATGTAATACCCCGTAAATTTAAAGAATGTATTTAAATTAATTTTGTGTTAGGTTAATTAATTTTATTTATTTGTGCATACTACATTATTTTATTAAATTCATTTAATTGTGCATGTAAATTAATTGTGTATGTTAAAATAGTAAATTTATTCATTTAATTGTGCATGTATTATTTTAATTACTTTTATTTGTTGATTATGTTTAATTAAGCAATATTAGTTAATTAGAGTATTATATTTGTGTTATAAAGTATTATGATGATATAATATATTATTTTGTAATAACAATAATAATCATTATATTAGTTTAATAATAATAATAATAAGAATATAATAATAATAATAATAATAATAAAAGTTTATTAATAATAATAATAGTTATAATAATAATAATAGTATTAAACCAAAGTCATGATGAAATTAGAGATTAGGATAGGATTGCATCAATGGTTATGGTTGGAATTGAAGCCATATGGTTGGGAGGATGGTTAGTTGATGAAAAAAATAAGATATTTGTAATATTTATATTATATATTTTGTATATAAATTAACTAGCTTGCCTTAGAAGAAAATAAAAGGGAGTTAGAAGCAAAGTATAAATTCTAGAGAACTATTTTATAAGAGTGAAAGGAAAAGAGAAAGAGAAAGAAGCTTGGACCGGTGTAGGCAATTTTACCCGACTACGCGCAGACCGGCGGATTTATTTTAAATCCAAAAAGGCAAGTTATTATCTACTTTTCCCCTTTGAATTAATAAATTAATTGTTTAGCTTATTTTTATGCATAGAGCCAAGGTTAGGAGGTTAATAAATAATTAATTTTATTTTATTAAATTAATGAAATTTTAATTATATAGGATGGTATATATTTATCTAATGTCCTATGAAATTAATAATGGCTAAAAATAATTAAATAAGACTTTGGGGATTTTTCTAGAATTTTCTAGATTTTTCCGAGCATTTTCTGCAATTTCCGGCGACCTTCCGGCGAGTTTTCCGGTCGCCGGCAGTGGGGGAGACGACCGGAGTGATCCGGTGCGACGCGGCGCACCATAGGAGGGTGTACGCGCGCATCCTGGCCCTTAATGGAGTCTGATTGATCCGGTGCATCGCGGTCCATGATACCGCGGTACACCCGGATCTGTGGGCGTTGGATGGAGGGAAGATAGGGTGAGATGATCCGGTGTGACGCGCATGTAGGAAAGGTGATGCAGCCAACCAACCGGAGGACGCCACGTCGACAGGAAGCCATCAACGCGCGCGTGGCAGCGCGTGCGCGCGCGTGGGACTCTCCAGACGCGCGTGGGAGCGCGTGGCTGATGCCAGACGCGCGTGGAGGCGCGTGGGAGAGTGGGGAAGGTTGGGCTGCGCGTGGGGAGGCTCTGGGAGGCGCGTGAGGGCGCGTGTGGGGTCCATACAGCTGCTGGAAATTACAAGAATACCCCTAGGGCCTGTTTTGTAAATTCCAG